ATTTATATAATAAAAATCTAAAACAATAATAATAATAATTCTAACATAAATTATAGAAACATTTGTATTTTACCGGCATATACCAGAATATATGTTTTTGTTATATTATATGTTTGTAATATTATAATGAATATATATATATATATCATTTGATTTGTTCAGTCACTAAATTTGTATACTTAATGTGTGTGTATTCACCAGAATATTCTGTATTAATAAAAGAATTGAGACAAAGGGCTCAAATAATGTATAATTCACAGTATGCGGCAAATTATTGAAACTTATTTAGTCTCTAAGTGTTTGCTTAAACAACACTAATAATAACAGTATTCAATAAATAATTGCATTTCTCTCTCTCTCTCTCTCTCTCTCTCATATTATCTCTATCTCTATCCTTACACTTATATAATAGATGGTCAATAATGAACATTATATGACATAACCTTAAATTATTTATTTTAAATAAACTAGACATTTTTTTATAATTAAAATTAAAGGATATAGTATATTACAAAATATTTTTTTAATCATTTAGTAACACATTTTAAAATAATATTGTGATAAAAGATTATTTATTAAAACATCACTAAATTTTAATTTATATATAATATTTTTAATTTTTTAAACTTATTTTATACAAACATACAGAATATTCTTTATATACACAATTTATGTAAAGGCATCGCTTAACATTTATCTCATCTTATTTACTAATAATCGTCTTTAAGTCAGTCAATTTATTTGATTTGCTACCATTTTATATCATTAACAGTAGCTTCACAGGAATAACTTAAAGTTGATACATTCAGTGTACAATATATATACTGTATATATACATTATGGGAGTACTTTTACTTTTATACAAAAACTGCGTGAATTGCTTAACACTGGACTTAGTTTTTAATAATTATCGTAAAAGTCAGTATTATGTAATTTATATAATATATAAATTATTATTATAATAATAAAATAGTATACAGGTACATTAATAATCAAAAAATTTGCATTTGTCAGCTTAACATATATTGTAGTCGTATAAAATGGGAGCCACGGCTACCACTATTACAACAACAACAATATATATATATATATATTATATAATATATATACGATTGTAAACATTAGTGATCTCCTGGAGATTGCTGGTGTCGGCTAATAGTATGTGTTATACAACAAGCTTTATGTATGTGTCGTAACTGTACTGTACTTTTAGTATAGCAATTGTGAAGTGAATGAGAAAAGTGAGAGAGAAGACAACAATTTATAATAAATTAGAAAATTTATTGTTGACTTAACGACACCAGCGATTATATGACCAAAATTTTTTGTCGGCTAAAATGTCATTTGCAAACATTACGTGTTGACGCGATTTATTAGATAATATGCTTTCATGAGCAACACTACTACAACTACTACTGTACAATATAATGACATTTTTCTCAATGTTTACTATATGTATAAAATATATATATTATATAATACGGTATATATATATACGGTATTATATGCTATTATTATTACAGTATTATTATTATTATTATAACTATAGAGAATAAGACAGTATCAGTGAAGCACTGGTTGCAAAAAATATTATATATGCCGTGAATATGATTTAATAATCCGTACGATAAACACACAAATGATATCAACAACAAAAAATTTTTATATATATATATATATATATATATATTCTTTCTTTAGTTTTGCTTCTATTCTATTACACGGTTTCATACAAAAGAGCCGTAAAATTAATATTAAAGAAAAAATAGTTTGCGTTTCGTCTATCCATAGATCCATAGGTCTGTTAATTCAATTGTACGGCTATTTTTCATGGCTATGGTATGCATAAGCAAAATGGGAACTTCATTTCACATGACATGTCTTTCTCTCGACTCATCTCATGAATACAAAACTAAGTTTTGACACAAAAGGAGAATAAATGTAAGACAAGAAAAATAGAGAGAGAGAGAGAGAGAGAGAGAGAGAGAGAGAGAGAGAGAGAGAGAGAGATTGCCGAAACAAAATAAATGATTTATACAAATATTGGATATTAATATTAAATATATAATAAATTTAGTTTTTGTTGTTTCTGCCTGTGCTCTGTATGTGGAAAAATACAAAATATTTTAGACTCTGATATTTGATATATAAACGCTAAGCTATTGTATTATTATTATTATTATTATTATTATATGATCTGATAATAGTGTGAATCCAATTGTTAGACACGAATTGATATAACTAGAAGTCATGTCTGATTTTAGTGCCCAGTGCTCGACCTATTGAGGACATCACAAATTTATAAGCTCCGCGAGAGTCTAGTCGAGTACTTATTACTTAATATATTTTTTGGTCAGTTATTTGATTTGCGATTTTTCCTGTTTGTCTATTGTATTAGTAGTAGTAGTGAACAGTTAGATTGAATGGCAATCTTACAGAAGTAAAGATATAAAAAAAATTTGTAATATTTTTTCTTAAGAAATCTCATAAAATTTATGATTATATCAATTCCGCAACTTATTATGTTTAGTGCCTTTAAATATAAACTGATACATACAGTACAGCATTATATTGAATATCATTATATAAATTTATATATAAATATATAAAACTTATAAATTATTTATTATTTAATACAAATATCATTACTGAACATAATTTGTAACCTCCTTTTGCATTCAATTATATAGAATTTCCTCTTATTTTTTTGGATTTATTAATACTATATATATTCAGTAAATAAATTAAGAGTCAAGAAAGTTATAAAATTAAAAACAAGACAAAAAAATATACCGCATATTATTAATAACTATTAATATAAAATTTAAATTTAAAAACATAAATAAATATGGGTAGTCTTTACATTAAATGTGATGTGAGATTATGTGAGGCATAAATAAATGATTAGTTTCATGTATTATAATATATTTTGTTTGAAAAGCTATTCGCCCACAGATTATTATATAAACATAAAAATAGAGAGAGAGAGAGAGAGAGAGAGAGACCCCAAAAACAGGTATATTTAAAGTAAAAAATATTGTATTTTAAAAAAATATATAATGAATTCTTATGACATATTATGGGCTGAAAAGAAAATGTTTTTTTAATAATTAAATTTTGTTTTTGTTTGATAATTATCTAATGGTGTGGTTTGTCATTTTTACACACACACACACACACACACACACACACATGAAAATCTATATATATATATATATAAATATATATACAATACATGTACACAAAATGAAAAGCTATATATAATCTGAAAATGTGATTGAAATAATTATCAATCATGAAAATCAAATAAATCTAATATTTTTTATGTACTTTGCTATATTGCTATGTAATGTCGAGAAAAATATGAAATAAAAATAGGTAATCATTGATAAAAAAAATAAGTATTGAATAGTTTTTTTTGTTATAAGAGGTTTGTAGTGTTTTTCTCTTTTGTAGCAAACAATAGAGATAATAGTTAAACGTTAAAATTGAGATTTTCTTTGCAAATAATTGATTAGTCAATGCTTTTATCATAACATTTTCAAATATAGATAGTATTGGGCACTGTATTAGTATTGAAAGCAAACAAATTTCGGTTCATTTGGTGAAACACAAAGTTTTGGAGTTTTTTTTTACTGAAGACCTGTTCAAGTATTGGCTGACATTAGGAGAGCATCTGTTCTGCTGTTGTGTCGCTTCCAGGTGTTCACCGTTTCCTTCATTTTTCACTGAAGACTTAGATCTGTGTATATGTGCCGTCTGAATATGCCTTCGGGCCATAAGTGGTATATTTGAGACAAAATTACGGCTAAAACTGTAATTATTATTGTGTGTGAAGTGCACATCTATAACATCTATATATATAAATGATTGTAATAGAGAATTGATGTTAAGCTGTTAGACATACAATTTACTGGTATATATAATAGATATTTTAGACATTGTATTACTGTATTAGCAGTCTATCGATTATATTGGCAATGTGTCGATGGACTGGTAGTCTAGAATTGGTTGTGTGTTTCTATCTTAAAGAGTTTTTCCTTTTTTTTAAAAAAATGGCCTCACATTTAAAGGCTATGTCCAACACATCAGTGCCCAAATAGCAGGTGCGACCATTGGGCTCAACATTGTGTATGTGTTTGGTGTTATAAAACTATCTTTCCTTTCTCCCACACAAAGCCCATAGAGTTTCAAAAATATAGTGTAATATATTGTACCATAAAAGTTGAAGTCCTCAATAGACTCTCGAAAAAATACAATGAAATGCAGACATCAATAGTTGTGTTCAATAATAATAATAATAATTGTATAAAAACGAGTGTTTGATTGCAATTTAAGTGCAAAATTCTGTGCAATCGATCACAACATTGCTGTGAGAATCCAATTAAAACAAGAATTTCGTTGACAATCAACACAACTATTATTATTATTATTAACAAATTTTTTTTATATAATTATTTTTTTATATATTCTTGAATAACACACACATTTTGGATTGAAACATATTAATATTAAAGCCAAAATAATTTTGTATATTTGTTATTAACTTAATTAAATTTACACTTTTGTAGTCATAATCAAAAAATTATGCGTTAAGAAAATTATATACATTTATAGTCAAACACAACATTTATAAATCATATATAAATATATACACACAAATTTTCATATCTATAATATACAGTACTGTATATATACTTATTAAATATATTAAATGCTAAGCAATATGTTATCCAAACATTATTTTTTTAAATAGTAGATTAAATACTACAATAGTTATATGATATATACAAGCTATTCACATGTTATACAATTTATATGTATATAGTTAAATAAATTAAATTGTAATTTATAGTTATTACTATTAATATAATGATTATATATATTGATATTTTTACGAATATATTGCAGTATTTTTGTGTGATATTTTGGTTATTTAATAATAAAAATCCTAAACAATAATAATATACTTTATTTTTAAAAAATAATAAAAATCTTACCTTTTTTGATGGCTTGTGAAGTAGTGGTGATAACAAATATAAGCAGTGATAACGTGTTGATAATATAAGCCATTATAACATTTGATGAGACGATTTGTTTACAATTTGATTATTACTTTATATATGGTTTATATATATTTTATATATAATATATATATATTTGATGTCTCGCTCTCTGGGCTATCAATTGATAAGTCAAACGGTATGAGCACTGGTATGTATGTACTGTACTATTATTATACTGTTTTATATGTATGTCCTGTTAGTTAGTTAGTGTATAGAGTAAAGCCAGCAATCATTTGCAACTACTGTCTTAACCACAGCGTTAGCGCCAATGACGCCAAACAGCAACTAAAAGATGAGAAAATGTCAGATATATTGTTGTAGTTATCGATTGGATGGATGGGCACAAACCATACCAACCATACCAATACCAACCAAACACTACTACTACTACAAGTAACTAACTATACAGTACTAGACATAACTGTTCTGCGCTCTGGCAGCAGATCTGTCGCACCAAAAGACTAAAACTTATAGGTTGTGCCACTCCTTCTCATATAAACACAACAGGCGTTACCTATTTGTCGATATATTTATTAAATTAAAGGTTTTCCCATCACTTTTCACTTATATATATATATATACCGTATATAATATATATATATAGTATATAATATATATATATAGTATATAATATATATATATATAGTATATTCACTATAAATTRTGTGTGTATTTATGTACCGACAAACTTGTATAAAACACTATTATAATGTTAAATAATTTTTTTCTCGATGCTCTAGAGCACAGGTATGTGCGTGTATTGTATTGTATTTTATTGTACTGTATATGTATGTATGTAAAGGTCAATATATTAGAGTAAATCATCGATAATATTATGTAGTAGTAGTAGTGCTTAATCATAATAAATGTATTGTTATATTTGCTTATTTACTGTTCATTGTATTATTATTACACAATAATAATAATAATTTTAGTTTTAAATAATATTTATGTTAATATTATTTTTTAATAATAATATTCTGAGACTAAATGTGAAACATTTAATCATTATAAGCAATAAAATACACTTTTTAATGCCTTATTTCTATTGAATTTTGTTAGTAATAAACAAGTTAAATGATAATATAAAAAATATTTTAGATTTAAATCAAACAACACATACATATATATATATACTGTACCTTTAATAAATATACTATACAAGCAATAACAATAATAATAAACATTAAAATGATGTTTTCTCATTATAAATATTTTTAGAAAAACAAAAACAATAATAAAACATTAAATTTAACATTAAATACATGAAAAACACATACAGAATATTCCTTAATGAAGGTTATAAAAATTGACAGTACAGTCACTACAATGCATTAAAATATATATATATAAAATATAATTTATTATAATATACATTATTATATTTGATAACGTTTATACATAAAATTATAAAAAAAATAATTGATAAAATAGTAAATTTCACCACAGAAACTAATGAAATATAAGATTATAGAGAGATAATAATTTTGTAGATTATAATATAAATATATAAATTTATATAATCATAAATATCGCATTTAGAGTCATAATTTAATTGTAATATTTGGTATCATTTAAAGCTTAAATATCATTAAGAATATATTTATCGGATTATCATATTTTTTACGATGTTTATACTAATACTAATAATAATAATAATATTAATATAAAATTGTATATAAGTATAATGTGTGTCCCTATACGATAAAAAATATGGTAAAACTCTGATAAAAATGTCATTCAATAATAATTTAAAAAATTATTCTATCTATTAAAATATTTAAATATAAAATTTAAAAAATGTAATAAATAATTATTAACGCTCTGAAGTCATTCAAATTTAGCTATTTTTACCTTAAGTGACCAGATTGTTATGGCGCGTGTTATTAAATTAATTTTAGACCAATCAGAATTTAATCTATTATTAAGTTTTCAACGGTTTTAGAATAATTACAAAAATTTTAAAATATACTAGCCAAACCTATTAAATGTATGATAATCATATAAAAAGAAGTTGAGGATTAGGTCATATTATCATATAATGGTAATAATAATTGAAGAAGTTGAGGAATAGGTCATATTATCATATAATGGTAATAATAACTGAAGAAGTTGAGGAATAGGTCATATTATCATATAATGGTAATAATAACTGAAGAAGTTGAGGAATAGGTCATATTATCATATAATGGTAATAATAACTGAAGAAGTTGAGGAATAGGTCATATTATCATATAATGGTAATAATAACTGAAGAAGTTGAGGAATAGGTCATATTATCATATAATGGTAATAATAACTGAAGAAGTTGAGGAATAGGTCATATTATCATATAATGGTAATAATAATAGAAGAAGTTGAGGAATAGGTCATATTATCATATAATGGTAATAATAACTGAAGAAGTTGAGGAATAGGTCATATTATCATATAATGGTAATAATAATTGAAGAAGTTGAGGATTAGGTCATATTATCATATAATGGTAATAATAATTGAAGAAGTTGAGGAATAGGTCATATTATCATATAATGGTAATAATAATTGAAGAAGTTGAGGATTAGGTCATATTATCATATAATGGTAATAATAATTGAAGAAGTTGAGGAATAGGTCATATTATCATATAATGGTAATAATAACTGAAGAAGTTGAGGAATAGGTCATATTATCATATAATGGTAATAATAATTAAAGAAGTTGAGGAATAGGTCATATTATCATATAATGGTAATAATAACTGAAGAAGTTGAGGAATAGGTCATATTATCATATAATGGTAATAATAATTGAAGAAGTTGAGGAATAGGTCATATTATCATATAATGGTAATAAAACTGAAGAAATTGAGGAATAGGTCAAATATTTCATTATTTTTCAGCTATTTTTACCATTAGATGATAATTGAATTTAATTATCACTATCTTCAGCTATTTTTACCATTAGATGATTATTGGATCTAATTATCACTATCTTCAGCTATTTTTACCATTAGATGATTATTGGAGCTAATTATCACTATCTTCAGCTATTTTTACCATTAGATGATAATTTAATTTAATTATCACTATCTTCAGCTATTTTTACCCTTAGATGATTATTGGATCTAATTATCACTATCTTCAGCTATTTTTACCATTAGATGATAATTGAATTTAATTATCACTATCTTCAGCTATTTTTACCCTTAGATGATTATTGAATTTAATTATCACTATGTTCAGCTATTTTTACCATTAGATGATTATTGGATCTAATTATCACTATCTTCAGCTATTTTTACCATTAGATGATTATTGGAGCTAATTATCACTATCTTCAGCTATTTTTACCATTAGATGATAATTTAATTTAATTATCACTATCTTCAGCTATTTTTACCCTTAGATGATTATTGGATCTAATTATCACTATCTTCAGCTATTTTTACCATTAGATGATAATTGAATTTAATTATCACTATCTTCAGCTATTTTTACCCTTAGATGATTATTGAATTTAATTATCACTATGTTCAGCTATTTTTACCATTAGATGATTATTGGATCTAATTATCACTATCTTCAGCTATTTTTACCATTAGATGATTATTGGAGCTAATTATCACTATCTTCAGCTATTTTTACCATTAGATGATAATTTAATTTAATTATCACTATCTTCAGCTATTTTTACCCTTAGATGATTATTGGATCTAATTATCACTATCTTCAGCTATTTTTACCATTAGATGATAATTGAATTTAATTATCACTATCTTCAGCTATTTTTATCTTTAGACGATAAAAAGCCACTATATGTTAGCGTCACTTATTATAAGACATACATAACTTAAATTTTTAATAACTTATAGATAAAATTAAAATTCAATAATATTTAATTTTTTGTTCGATTCATTTTGATTGGTCAATTGGCTCTGTGCCGATGGCACTGTTTTGTCACCAAAGGAAAACATCGATTTGTGCCGATGGCACACGTTTGTTGTCAGCGCGTTAATTAGAAATAACTACTAAAATATTTCAAAGTCATGTCAAAAGAGGTTCAATTTCATCTTCGTTTGAATTGATTGTCTGATTGTCTTCAGTGACAATAATAGCATTTTCATCGATAGCTTCTCCATCATTGGCTTCTCTACGTTGCCGTTCCTCGTCTGATAAATAGCCGGTGCTTTCATTTATACCATAAGAAAAGTATATTATAAACCCTATTATAAAAATATGCAAATAAAAAAACAAAACAAAAATCAAGTCATTTATAATTTTAATAGTATTTTTATTTATTTTTATTTTATTTTAAAACAAGTTTATATGAGAAATAAAAACATTACATCAAAAACTTCATTAATAAGAAAATTGGAAATCTATTAGTTGTTTAAAAAACAGATTTAATAGTCAATTAGACAGCCGTTTATAATTAAAAATAGTATAAAAAGTAATAAAATGGAAAAAATTAACAAATCGATTAAACAACAAAATCAATATTGTAAATACAATATTTAAATATAAGTAAATAACAAATAAATTTAGTAAAAAATCAATTAAATTTAAATGTAAATGTTAAGTCAAATTAATACAATTAAAGTATTGTAATATCTTTAGTGTATATTCAACATTATCTCATAATTTTTATACAACATAAATTTGTATATACACAGTATAATATATAATATAATATATACTGTATATATAATGTATTTGTGTATAAACTTTATACTATAAATACATTCAATATAATATTTTATGGTATAATATATTTAGCTTTTGTACAAACAATGCATTAAATATTATAATAATTATAATAATCTATTGAACCAAAAATCTCTGGAAAGTAATCTCTCTTTCTCTCTAACAACACATTAATAATATTTTATAAATATTAATAATATTTCAGATCATCTCATAAAATCAATTATATAACAAAAACAAACAAATAAAACTACTTTAAATATAAAATATACATAAAATTTTCAACAAATATCTTAAATTAATTGTAATAAAAGCAAAAGCAATTGACTGTTAAAATAATATAACATATATATATATATTTTTTTTATCTAACAAATGTATTGTGACTTTTATATAATACAATGGGTGTATTTTCTGATATAACAAAATATAATCACAACTTTTATTTTAAATAATTGATATTTGTCTCATAATTTTTGTTGTATTTAAAATGCTTTATATGTATATGTTATACAAAATACAAAAATGCTACAGTATATAAACACATATATACATAGTTTATGTCATAATCTGTTATTTTAATTTGAATTTCAATATTACGATGACATTAAAAGTTGTAATTTTCAATTAAAAATGATAATATGTCGTCAAATGTCTGTGTGTTTTATTTAAATAATAAAATGACCACCAATTATATGTATTTAAATTACATATAATTTTGTCGCACCGTTTCATTAGAAAAAGGATAAAATTTTGTTCATAAAAATCACCGGATGTTTGATTTAACATAATATATATACAAATATAAAGTAATATATATTTATATATTTGTGTCAAATACAGTATTAAAATTAAGTGAATATATGACTAGTCTTTTATGGCACACAACTCAGTATTGTCTTTAGTCTCATATTTGACATTCGGCTGACATTTTTTTTTCTCATCCCTTTCCCTTTCATTGCTGTTCCACAGGCCGTACAGAAAATAAATGCTTAGCCCTATTTGGGAAATGTATAGAGAAAGTTATAGATATATATATAATAGTATAGTATAGTCCAATAGTTTAGTCCAATCTTATAACCAAATAGTTTAAGTCAAACAAAAAAAAACAATTTTTTAGTGAAAACAGAAAGTTGTAAAAGTAAATAATAAATAAAAATGATAATAAAAAATATACGAGAAAAGAAAAAAGATAGTAAAAGTGTATAATAAAATAAAATCAAAAAACAATAACATATATATATATACTGGTATTATTATATGTAATGTTATGCCTACCAATAAACATCCAAACAGCAAATCTGATCCAGGTCATCCGTGACAATTTGAGCATCAAATAAAAGTTTACAAACACACTAGAAATATATTGAGAAAACCCCGTAATAATTATTTATTTTATTTTTTAGCAATTTTAATTATTTGCTTATGAATTGACAGTTAATTACCTCAAGAAAGGAATCCATGGAACTAATGGGACCTAAAAAATTAATAAACATAATTTTATAAATTTGAATTTTTAAAACTTAATTTATAAATCATTTTCAGCAAAAATTAAACACAAAAAATAATACCTGAAATGATATCCTTTTGGCCGACGATGGCTGAGTGCCTAAGGCTGCGATGTTGACGATCAGTAATGCAAACATAACGGAAACAACAACTATAGCTGTTGTCTCTCTGTCGGCTAAACGGTCTTCCAGTGCAACCAATAGAGAATCCAATATAATTAAAACAATACCTGCAATAATAGTAGATAAAGTGAAACATATTTAGTTGATTTATAAATTTAATTAAATATTTTTTAACGATTACATACACGAACTGATAATAAGTATAACTGAAGTCAAGGATGAGAGTGGTGTCGGAGATGTTAGTCGATCGACATTAAAGGTCTGTCGCAATATGTCTTTATAACTGAAAACTCTGTTGTCGTTGGAATCGTTAGAACTGCCGACAAATTGGTTAGTGTTTACTGAATTATCAGAACCGGGCGATGTTGGGAACGGCTGTAATCGATCCTCTTTGTACCTAAAATTTTTTCATTTGATAATTAATATTAAAATTTTTATTTATAACTTAATGTGCAAATAATGATAAATACCAATAGAAATAATAAATAATTAACAAAATAAAAGTAAAAGTTAATATCAAATTATAAAACATTTTTTTAAACGATATAAATGAACGATATTTTGTTAGTAAAACAAAATGAAAAGAAATATAATAAACAGATTGTAAAGACAACTCACTCGTTATCAACACTGTCTTTAAGTGGTGTTACCTCATGAACATCACCGGCCATATCGTCTGAATCAGACAAACCGATTTTATTTGCATTATATCTATATCTGTTTGGACAACAATCCAAACAAAAAACATTGTCAGACATCAGAGTTTGGACGATATATATATATATATATATAAACATTAATACAATTATAATTAGTTTAGAAATTAAAATAAACATAAAATGTTTGTTAATCTTTTCCACAAATAATTCTTTCACATAAATATATTGTATATAATTTATACCTCAATATAAGTACAGATATGGCGACCAATGTATAAGCTAATAATGTTCCTAAAAATATATAGATATAATTATTTTAAAAATTAAATTCATTATTAATATATATTATAATTAAAATATTAATACCAATGGACATCATATCAGCCAACTCTTTGACATCAAACATAGCAGCCATTCCACCGGCCAATAGACCCGATAGGAAAGTTGCGAGAAGTGGAGTCTTAAATTTTGGATGAACTGTAGCCAACCATCTGAAGATAACACCATCGCTGGCCATTGAATAGAGAACTCGCGGCAATGGAAACATAGCTCCGAGTAAACTAGTGGACAGTCCGGTCAATGCACCAATCGATATAATCCATTTGGCCACTGGCCATCCAGCATGTTCAAATACATAAGGAAGCGGTGCTCCAGCGGTAAGATCTTCAGTTTGCAAGTAATATGGCATCATTAGGGTCTGGACTGCGGACACACCAAAATAGGCCAAAAAGACAAACAAAAGTGATATCACAATTCCTATTGGAATTGATCGCTGCGGGTTTCGTGCCTCCTCTCCAGTGGTGGCGATCACATCAAAACCGATAAAACCTAATTACCGGTACGAGATAAAGGTATGTCAACCTCAAAGCTCAATCAAATTCATAACAAACAAATACCATAGAAACATGTGGCGGCACCGGCCATCATGCCTGAGAAGCCAAACGGTAGAAAACCACCGGAGCCTCCGTTATATCTAATTAAATCAATTAGTAAAACAACATTATTAGTAATATTATACATTTTATTTTTTAATTGATGCCAACCCTTCTGGTATGTCTTTCTCGGGAATTGTCCAATTGCTTACGCTTGCCTTAAAAGAGCCGGCGATGACAATGAACAGTACGACCAATAGGTTCAAGAATGTAAAAATTGAATTAAAACGAGTCGACTCTTTGACACCGACCGAAAGCATCACTTTTTTATATACACACAAAAAAATCAAATTAAGATATAATTTAACCAAAAAATAAAAATAAAATTTATACAATTATTGTCATCCATTGTTTATAATACCTGTCAAAAGTAAAGTTATACCAAACGCAAGAAAATCTGGATATGCAGACAATCCGTTGACATCCATTGGCATCCATTCTCTGAAATGCTTTTGAATGGTTCCATTGACCAGTGCGTCGATGTAAAGACTATATCCTCGGGCAACTGATGCCGTACCTGATATTATTATACAAACGGAAAAAAACTATAAGTTTTAAATCAGTTAAAACATTACATTCAGTATAGTATGTTAAATACCGATAACATATTCAAGAACTAGATTCCAGCCAATAATAAATGCCATTAACTCTCCTATATTTGTGGATAAATTAGATTTTAAATTTCAGTCGTTCATAATATATATATAAATATATTTATCAGTAATCATACCAACGGTAACATATGAGTAGACATAGGCCGACCCGGCTTTCGGTACTCGGGCTCCAAATTCTGCATAACATAGTCCGGCAAATACTGAAGCGACAGCAGCTGATTAAAAAAATATTTTTAAATCAATTACCGGTAATCAGTTTTTGTACTAAACAAATATTTTATCAAAAAAAATTGTCTTATTTTATTTTTAAAATATTTCTATAAAAGTCAACAAACAATAAGTCAAATAACGTCAAAATATTTTTGTTGTTGTAATCAATTCTGTTGGCGAAGTCAATGGTAAATGTGATTTAAGATAAAATGTGACAATATATGTGTACAAAATATAAGTGTATTTTTAATATAAACAATAAATTACTTTATCAATTAAAGGCTACATAGTAATTAAATAAGCAAATAATAAAAAAAATGTGGAAAAATACGATAACTATTTTAATTGACGAAATCAATTGTCAGCTCATAATAAGTTTATATGGTATATGGTTTAACTCAAATATTTGTGTCAAAGCAATTGATTTTTTAATATTAGACAGACATTACTGTCAGTCGCTTACCAACAAAGAAACTTAGAGTAACTGCGGGTCCGGCAGTTCTCGAGGCCACCTCACCGGCCAATACATATATGCCAAGTCCTAGTGTACTGCCGATGCCTAATAATAATAATAATAATAAACAATTTTGAAATGTTATAATTGTGTGTCAATTAAAAACAATTATTAAAATATATATACCGAGAGCCGTCAGATCAAGTGTGGAAAGACATCGATCGAGTCTGGTTTGGGTCAGAGAGTTCTGTTCGATGTGTTTTCGCCTCAATAGGGCTTTAATAAAGTAAAGCAATGATGGCATCGATTACCAGATTTTTTTTTGTTGTGTTTTCAATAAATATATATATAATTTAATGGTGTCTATCAATTGGCAAAATAATCCAGAGTTTAATGTATAGATAATTTTGAGTTCAATAATCAGGTGATATCTTCAATGATATTATTAATATCCGTTGAATACTAAATTTCGATATCAAATGAACACAAATATTGTGGAAAAATATCTATTAAAAAAGATAAACAAAAATAATAATTATTATTTAATATTAAATTAATAAAAAATTAAAATTTATTTAACTGTATAAATAAAAAATAAATAAAAATACATATTAGCTAAAAGGGTAGCCTAGAAAACTAACAAACAAATTGATATACATATAGTTTTTTACAAATGTATGCTAAATAGCAAACTGATTGTTACTTTTAAATCAAATAATCGATTGATTAGATAGAAAGACATCAAACAAATCAATCATATATTTCATGAAAAAAAGATAGAGATAACAACATTTTATACCAATTCTGGTACTTTAATAAACAAATAAAAAACTGTGCCATAAATTTGATGATAAAATAAGAGAAAAACACATTAAATACGACAAAATAAATAAGAAAATTCAGTCGTTTCCTAATAAGAAATAAAATTATAATTTTTTAATTTAAATTTAAATACAAACTCAAATTTATACAAAAAAGTAATATTATATCATTTAATCTTTTTTATGACAAAAAGAATAAAAATAAAATTTAATTATAATTAAAAATTTTACCAAAAATTCTATGAAGAATAATAGAAAAAGGCCTTTAAATATCAAATAATAATTAAAAATAATTCACAATTAAAGCTAATAAATAATTAAATTAGTGCTAAAAGCATTATATGGTGGATAATTTAATTAAAATTTAGAGGACATCCATGTAATAATAGTGCACACAATAAATAATAATTAGTTAATTATTTGATAAAATATATAACAATAGGAAAAATGTTTACCAAAAAATCTAAAACAATTTATTTTCTCACAAAAAAGATATTATCATATTTTATAATATAAATTATATAAATTATATACAGTATATATTGTTAATATAATAAATATAGTTAATGTTAAATTTAAATCTCTTATTATTATTATTATTATTATTATAACTGTCTATATAAAGTGTAGTAGTATTTTGTTGTTGTTGTCTCTCTTGTTTAATATATGATATGATTATAATAATAGATAACAAATTACTGATTACTTTGTTCAACATATATGACACAGTTTTACCAATTAATTGGTTGTTTCAAGAAAAAAAAATCAAATATTAATACAACTATAAACAAAAATAATATCATAACATAAAATTGATATTTAATAAAATGCATGGAAACTGTTTTGCATTTACAGTAAGTTAGTGCCACATAACGTTTTTGAGGCCATAAATTAATTAGGAAAATAAAGTAAAGCTATTTTCAGAGTCAAATAAATCTTGTAAATAAATTATTAGCTAAATTATTATTATTATTTGATTATGAAAACAAATATCTCATTAACAATATCAATATAAATATACCGTTTAATTCATAAACAATACAAGTATTTTTTTACAGAATACAAGCAAATATTGTAATTAGAGATGAGATACAAAATAAAATAATAATTTTATAATTTATTGAAAATTTAAACAATAATAATATTTTATAACTTAAACTAAAATGTAATATATATATATATATTAATTTAGACATATACCTGTATCTTTTTTCTATCACGATATCCAATATAAAACAAAGTAAAAGATGAAATATAATAAATTTATAAAAGAGTTGTTATTATACAGTACTAGACAATGATTACACAAAATTCATGGCAAACATGTGACTCATGTATTATTGGAACTAATTTGAAATTATATTGAAATAACAAAAAAAACAATAAAATAAATTAGTGAATGATATTGAGATTATTAATATACAAAAACCAGATATATATGTATATATAAAAAATATACTTAATTTAATAATTATCTATTACCTTATTAAGTTAAAATTAAAGTCAGAATAGTTATATATCATATTAATAGGATTTTTATTATTAGAATATTAATAATTTTTAAAAAAATAAGTACTAATAAGTTAAAGAATTTATGGTTTAATTAGCAAAAATGACACAACAAAAAAAAGCAAATATTAAATTAACAACAAAATATAATAAAACTTAATTAAACTGTAACATTATAAGTTTCTCAGAATAATACTAATAATATGCAAAAATTCTGTAAATATTACATAAGCCATAAAAATTGTTACACTTATAGCATGTATTACTAAATATATACTGTACTTATGATTATACAGTATATATATACAGTATATAGCAATTATAGCATTTTCTGCTCATATTACTGTTTAGGCTGTAAGAAAATAATATCTAATTTAAGAATATTATTGTTAATAATAATACAGTATTTAAGCAAAATTGCAAAAACAGAAAACCTTAAATAATAGTTTTAGATAATGAAAGCAAAACTCACGGTTTTTTTTTGGTACACAAATCGCATGGATTATCAATAAAATAATTATGAAATAAGAAATCAGTAAAAATCATTGAATACCATACTTATGCAAAAAACAGTGAAGTATAGTACAGTACAATAATCTAATGATAATATACTATATATTCTCTCAAACATAAAAGTCATGAGACCTTAAAATAAGGAGAGATCCGATTCCTCTAAAGCACTGTTAGCTTATGTGTTAGTGTAATACTGGTAAGTCTAGTACCTAAAACACATACATTATTTTCTTTACTCAACACGTTTTAGTATACTTTCCTCTCCTTTTTTTTTATTTATATGTTTTTAGCAGCAGTTAAATCAAATGCTAATATTATGTAACTTCTCTCTCTCTCTCTCTCTCTCTCTCTCTCTCTCTCTCTCTCTCTCTCTCTCTCTCTCTCTCTCTCTCTCTCTCTATACGTACAGACAAATATATGCCTTCAGATATCAGATCAAAGTTCTTGTTTAAAGACACAGACATACACAGCAAGAATTGGGGAGAAATAAAAAAAGCAAACATTTTATGATAACATATTATATTAATGTGCAATAAATGGGCGCAAAATACAAATATTCTGAATATTTTGAAATAATACTTTATTTAATTGTATTCAACAATAATAAATTTAAAAAAACAAAAGATTAGACAAACAACATGTGTATGAAATAGTCAGCCAAAACGTCTATTACATTAAAGTGGATCTAATTTATGACACATTTTTGTCATTGGTTTGTCTACTGTATAAACTATTTTATTATTTAATGTATATGAATCATATGATATGATCTACAAAAATATAAACATATCATCAAAACAAACACACATTTCTATCTATGTGTGCAACGGATTATCGCCAACAATGATATAATAGTAGTAACATTAATATATAAATATTTTTTGTTATGTTTTATATAAACATATCAACAAAAATTATTATTGCATTCTATGTTATCAAAAAAACATGATTTTTATAATAACAATAATACTAATGAATTTTATTTTATCAGACAGTACTGGTAGTAATTATTTAAAAGTTTAAAAAAAACAGATACTCTATGTGTATATTCATGTCCTTTAAACTATTATTTTTTTTTTGTATGATATCAGTGAAACCTTTGAATTATATATACAGATAACATTGGGAATCAATAGAAAAAACTTTATTTTTTGTTGTTGAAAATTTTATGCTTATTAATTGTATTACAATAAAAAATAATAAAAAAAATTATTTAAATTCATGTTTTTTTAACGCTTGGGTATTCATGAGGAATGTAACAAAAAATAAATGAAAAACATGTTTTTTAATTCATTCAATTAAATATATATATATATAAAGTATATTTAAAATTTTAATAAAATTATTAATTAGTAATACATCTATTTTTGAAAACTATTCATATGATACCATACTTATACAATATGCTTTGAAAGTGAATTTTTCAAAACAAAACAAAAATAGTAACTTAAAAATGACAAGATTTATGGTATTTGTCACTAAAATAATTGATGAAAATTGTATTTATTAACAGTGATAGTACTGTAACAGTTATATTATAAATACTGTACATAGCATTGAAATCAACGTAAAAAAATTAATGTCATATCATCATAATAATAATTATTATTATTAACCGGTAATAAAATAATTTAAATGCAAATTAATTAAAGAATCGCTTTATTTGGAAATAAAAGTAGTTTTTGTATATATAAAAACTCAAATTACTTATTATGTGTTTTCAGTAATATTTGATAATATTGTGAAGACAAGAATATATTAAATATATTTTTATTTTAAAACAAAATTGTTATTTAATATTTAAGTAGATATACTCAATATTGTGTGTTTGATTAATTAAATTTCATAAACACTTAAATTTAACACTACATATACAGTAAATTTTGGCAAATATCCAGAAAAAACAATCGGAGAAATGCTTTCAATACTTGTGCCGAGTATTTCAATGAAATATATTACCAATAATTGGTAATTAATGGCATGAAAGTGAGATCAAAGTTATTGATAATACTTGAAATGTTGAGATCAAAAGGGGTCAAACACAAGGACTTGATTTATCAAAAATGTTAATATAAATATTTACTAACAAGTCATGTGTGCTTTATTTACAAAACAATTTTAATTAGTAGACCCACAAAAAAATATTACGTTAATTACTTTAAAATATTGATAAATTATAAAATAATAAAAGTTTATTTTTGTTGATTAGTTTTTTTTGAACAAAAAAAAAGAATATTTTTATGAAATTTATTTAACATATCATCGATAAGTAATTTCCTTAAATGAATCAACAAGTTTTGGGATACAACAAAAAAAGTTGAATATATATGTTATTTTTATTTTATTTTTTACATAAAACATAAGACTTTTATGGTATTATTTATTATAAGCATTCAATTATTGTCTTACCAAATGTAAAACTTGTAGTAAATATAATAAGTGTTGTAAAAACAAAAGCAAATGTTTGAATAATTTTTATACATTTTAGCAAAAAAAACTAAAAACAATTATATACAGTATATATATTTGTAATTCTTGTGCGGGAGTTGTATGGAGGAGGCAAAGGTAAGGGTGGGATAGGAAGGGGAGGCAACACACAAACAGACATACACACACAGATATACACACACATAGACATACACACACAGACACAAATACACACACACACACACACACACATACACACAGACATATACACACAGACATATGCACACACACACACACACACACACACAAGGGAAACGTCGATTTTTAAACTATTACCATAAATCTAATTTAAGATAGAGTTTAAAGGAAAACTTAATTTTAAGGTTACACTTCGTAATACAGTAATATAATATATATAATATAGAAAATTAAATGGAAAACAAGCCTCTTATGTTTGCATGTCTTGAATGAATTTAAAACTATATTATTATGTAATGAATATAAATATAGATCTTATATTAAAAGTCATACAAAAAACAAGCAAAAGGAAGAATAAAAAACAGAAAAAGTTGGTCACAAAAGTAAATCATTCGTCACTTAATAAGTAATTTGTGTTTCAAAGAATAAGACATACAAATAATATATATATAATAAAGTAATGAATTAATGGTAAGTCAATGGCATTCATAAATCATGTTTTGTATGTATATATTAAATATGAATAAATAGATATAAGAAAAAAGTTATATAGAGTTAAATGACTCTCACCTTATGTTAGGAATTAAACTGTCTGTTAATGATGAGAGTAGTGTCCAAATATTGCAATCCATAAGCCGTTTCCAATGCCAGTTAAGCCATTAATTTGAAATAATATCAAATAATATAAATGTATAATAAATTTGATTAAATAATATCAGGTTTTTTATGTTAGCAGTGAATGGTTTGGTTGGCTGTGACTGTGACTTTGCTTATGGTTTGCCTAAACGCCCACTGCTTTCAATGAGACAATTGATGGACAACTTCTTGTATTAGCTTATAATATATAAAAAGCAGACATTCATTAAATGTAATCGACTTTTATTTGTCATTCAATTATCTTTTTTAGAAACTTCAGAAATGATTGTCACCAACAAAGGCCTAATAAAAGCACAAAATTTTTATTTATTATTTACTTTATCATCAAATTAAACGTCAATTTCTTTTTATAATTTCATTAATTATTATATTGTATGCACTCTTTGAATATAATATTATTTTATATACTATTGTATAAGTGGCTCTCAATAAACATTATTATTTGAATATACATTACTTTTTTTTATTATTCTAAGGTAGTTATTTTAATATAAAAATTATACTCAATTATGATATCACATAAAAGTTGTTTTATATACTACTGTATATACGGTAAACTGTATATTGTATGTAATTAATAGTCTTTTTATATACTTTAGAGTATATATTTGAAGAACTTTTGAATTTTATATTATACAGAATATTCACCTAAAAATTTTGATAACAACTTTATTATTATTATTATTAATAGTAACATTTATAATGTTTATCATTTATTTAATTTCAAAGTTTGATAGAAAAAAGAGGGGATGGCATCATTTAGTAGGGGGTCTAAAAGCAATATATATATATATAAGTATTGTTCAAATATTTAAAAATAAATTTATATTAAAGAAAATATAATTAAAATTTATTACAATATATGATAACTAAATAACATGTAATACATTAGTATATCATAGTTTAGTTATATTTTTAGGTATATATATATATATATATATATATATAWAATTCTTATCTATTTTATCTAATTTATTATTATTATTATTATTTTAGCCAACTCATTTAAATGGTACCAATAAATTTATTTAAAAAACATATATTAACAAAACAATATATGATATAATGATATATGTAATAAACTAGCATGATAAATTATCGTATATTGTTTTTAATGTTAATTAATTATAATGATTGTAAATTGTTTTTAATTAAATAAATAAATAACACTCACATTTATGTATAATAAATATAAATGATGATGATAATAATAATAATAGTAATAAATATTACATGTATTGATTGTATTAAAATTTATATATCCTATGTATATATAAATTATGATTGATAAAAATGATGATGTATGTTTTTTATATATATTAGTATATATATTAGCAAGCACATTCACCAATAAAAAAAATTTTTTTAGTCATTGTTTGTTAACTATGGAAAATTGTTGTGAAATCATTGATTAATGACATTAACAACAATTAGTGACACAATATACAGTAGATGTTAATTAAAATAATTAAATTTTTAAAAATGTTTTTTTTTAATAAATGTATTGAATTTAAAAATTATATATAAAAACAAAATTTTGAGTTTTCATTGATATTCAATGTTTACTGTATTATACTCTATATATTGACATATGTTTTGCCACTGGAAATGCCATAACATATAGAGATATAGAGGTCTCAGCAGTTTTAGTCAGTGAGCATTGATTTTCCCGTTTATTATAAGTAGTGTCTTGATTTCCAACTAAAAAAAAATTATTTTGTCGGTTCAACGCTTATAACTGGGACTTAGTATGTCCACCGAAGTTGACCAGTGGACGCTATTTCCGAAATTTTATTATAACTATAAATAACTATTTGTTGGGTTAGAAACTATAAAAACTTATAAATAATTATTTTATTGATTTTGAAAAATATAAGCATTAAATTGTAAAATATTGCACAAATATATGTAAAAACAAAAAGTAATAGTTATATAAATTATATAAAATGTGTAAACTGTTATTAACTCATATTAATTTTTTAACAATAGAAATAATTAGTTTATTTTTAGATCATTTTTGTAAATATGCTGAAAACATGTGAATTATATATCAGTTGAAATATTTATAAGAAAATAAATAACTATTTCAATAACTATTTGGCTTTTTTGGCAACTATATACAACTATTTAATACATTTTAAATAACTATTTTAACAACTATTTGACTTTTTTTAGCAACTATTATAACAACTATTTAATAGAGTATAAAAAATTATTAATCAATACACTAATTATAAGTAATAAAATGAAAAACAGATTGAAATACAAGTGATTTTTTTTCAGTGACACAACACACTTGTGGTTAGGATTTTGATTATCGATTAGTTTTGAAAATATATGCTATTTATAGATGAGTTTTATTTTCATCAGTGAATTGACTTTTACATTGTTGTCTGAATTCAATATAAAAGTCAATTCACTGATTATTATGTGTTGTTTGACATTCAATGGCATTCTCTATAAGGATATGGCTTTAGATTCTGTGGTTTTTATTATTATTCATATTTAATGAAAATTCTGATGAAATTCTTTATTCATATATTATTATTACTGTTACTTACATTTGTATTATGCAATCACAATATAATATAATTATATTTATATAAAACAAAATTATACAGAAAACAAAATCAGATTTACTATAAAATTATCAAATTATGTCATCTAAAATGTATAAACTTTTTTTTTTAAAAAAAAGTCTCGAAATAAAAAATAATTATTTTGTCTGAAAAGTTACAACAAAATAAATATTGTATTTAATTATCGCTCAAATGGTTTGGAATCGAAATAAATTATTTACATTTTTAATCAAAAAACTAGAAAAATTTAATATTTTATAACTTATTAATATGTAATTCGCTTAACTGGTAATTAAAAAAAAAATTGCGAAAAAAATGTTTTTAATAACTGACGAGACAAACATTGGCATTTCTACCGTCACTTTTTTTGTTAACTACATGTGCTTTCAATATACTGTATGTAATTTACTGTATATACGTATATAAAATTTTCTCATCGTAATGAAGACCTTGATAAATAAATTGAATTTTTTGTTTTAAAAAAATCAGTATTTTCCTAAATTAATAATTCAATAAATATGTAAAACACGTACACAAAAGTAGAAGAAAAAATTATTTTTTTTTATTATTATAAATCATAATAATTGCTATCCCTTACAACCAATAACATGAAATTTAAAAACCACACAACAGTTAACTATATATATATTCAATAAATACATTTTTTAAAAAACATAACATTCACTTAACATAACGATTATATAATAAAATCAATTATTATAAAATAAAAATTGTTTTGATATATTTATTATATAATATTGCCATTAAAAGTTAAATATCAGACCTAAAAATAATTATTACTCTTAAAAAAAATTATTGTATTTGTAAATAATTTCAATAAAATCCTATATAAATCTAATTAACAATTTGTTTGAAAAGCATAGTTAGATTTGATTAAATTCAAATATATATATATATATATATATAGTTAGACTTTAGCGTTGACTATTTGGACGAACTCTGGCTTCAGTGAAGCGCCGCCAACAAGAAATCCGTCGACATCTTTCTCTTGGGCCAACTCTTTAGCGTTTCCACCGGTTACCGAACCGCCGTATATGATTCGGGTGGACTCAGCCACTGCTGGCGATACATTAGTCTTAAGCCATTCGCGCAATTGTAGATGAACTTCTTGTGCCTGAGCCGGTGATGCCGTTTTACCCGTTCCGATGGCCCACACGGGCTCGTAGGCCAACACCACTTGATTCCAGTCTTTTACTTTGGCTATTAGTTTAGACAAATAATTTTGTCAGTCATTTACTGTATTATATAATAACCAATTAATAAGTGCTTCACTTATACATACCAGCGATGGCCTTAGTTTGTCTGAACACGACATCTGTTGTCTTTCCCGCCTCTCTTTCATCCAACAGTTCACCGATACATGCGATTACTTTTAAGCCTTCATCCAATGCGTGACCAACTTTATCGGCAATCAACTAATTCATTGGTAAATGAATAGACATAAATAAATGGTAGACATTAATCATTATAAGAAATTATTGGTCAAAATATTAACCAAACAATTAATATCAATCAATCAAATGTGAATTACTTCATCAGTTTCGCCGAAGACATTGCGTCTCTCTGAGTGTCCCAATAGAACCCAATTGATTCCGATATCTTTAAGCATTGCTGGACTGATCTCACCGGTGAAGGCGCCCTTCGATACTTTGTATGCATTCTGAGCCGAAACACCAATCTTTTCGGGCAATTGTCGCCTAACTTCAGACAAGTAAATACTGGGAACAGATACCACTACCTCTGAAATTGTAAATTATAATAAAAAATAAATTATATATTGATGTCCAAGAAATGATAAATCATGTGTTTTATCAGTGACCGACCGGTTCCGTCATCAAGTGGTCCGTTGACTAATGTCTGAATAATTTCATTGTTCAGTGCTTTTCCTCCATTCATCTTCCAGTTTCCGCCGACAAAGAATTTTCGGACCATTTTTATGGATAATCGTTGAATTGATTGCAATATTCTGTGGATTCAAAAACTGATTGATTTTATGAACCGATCGGTTGAACCTATTTTTGTTGGAAACAAATGTATGAATCAATTGAATCAACTTTTTTTTGTTTGCTATTAATTTATGTCAAAAATTTACAGTAATTTTCCACAAAAGTCTATCTAATTGTCGATATTTTTGGTGATAATCTTCACTCAGTTTTATTACAATACAGTCTGTAATATACATGTATTATTGACATTGAATTTAATGCATTAAAAAATATACTGTAGTTTGCAACAGATTTTTCCTACACTGATAAATAAAATTTTTTAGTACCTTTTAATTTTACAAATACAGTGATGTACTAAATATAAATTGTATTATATTAAATGGGACTAATATTGTTTTTTTTAAAGTACAAATACCTAATATATAAATGTATTATATTAAATGGGACTAATATTGTTTTTTTTAAAAGTAACCAATTATTATTGTAGTGCACTCTTGTGTTAAAAAAAATTAAATAGTTTAATATACTGTTTAATATGTGTATGTAATAAATATTGTAGATTACAAGGTTTAACATATAGTATTTAATTATTAAATTAGAAAAATTATAATTATTAATAATTTAGATCTAATTGATAATAGAAATTATATGGATATATGAATTCAACAAAAAAAAAAAAAACAAAATAAAGTACAAAAATTGACACAAAAAAAGTCTAGGACACCCGGTATTCCCAGGTGGTCTCCCTCCCAAGTACTAACCGGGCTCGACGCTGCTTAACTTCGGTGATCGAACGAGAACCGGTGCTTTCAGCGTGATATGGCCCTAGACATTATAACATAGCTAATTTTAAACTTTTAACATGTATCATTTATATATATATACAGTATATTATTAAAAGTGTAAAACAGGATCTTGGTCATGTACAGGACAGGACGGGACTTGCACTTACTCAGCTCAATCTATATATTACACCACTAATCTATATATATATATATATATATATATATACAGTGTATAATAAAATAAATATAAGAAAATTTCCATAACTGCATAAGTAATTTTTATATGTCAACTAAAATTTAAATATTTTTTAAGTAATAATCAAAATGATTCAAAAATTTTTAAATAAATATGAAATAGAGTTTAATAAAAAAAAGATTAGTTTTATATACTCTTAGAAAAAATATTTCTGTATTTTTGTTATAATATTATTTAAATTTTGTTTTAAAGTATACACTGTATTCCACTTATTATAATGTACTGAATACTCTACACTTTATTTTAAGTAAAATTTTAGTAACAAATTTAAATTTAAAGCAAATATTGAGAAAAACTTGTGTCATATGCAGTGCTAAAGACTACTTAACCGGACTATTCAATAATTATTGTCAATTCATTAAATCTAATTTTATTTATTTTTAATTAATTTATATCAATTAAATAATATTAATATTTAAATTATTCATTAAAAACTGTTGTCATTTAAATAAATATTGAAACATGAATTACAAGCCATTTCCTCAAACAATAAAAATGCAAATTCTTGGTATAAAACTATTTAACAGATATGTGGTCAAAGAGCTGGACTCTGAAGAGGCGAACAGATTTCGCCAATTGGACGACACGTTGCAGAGTAACTACGGTAAGGGTCGGCACACAAACCGAAATCAAGTGTTTAAAGTCCATCAATTTGTGGCCGTTTATGGCTATCCCTATGAAGACAGTAAACATTATTCCGGTAAAAAATGGATGAGAGGTGTCATACGAGACAATTGTCATCAAAAGAACTTCTTGTTTGGCGTATATTTCGCTGATTATGGTTTCGAAAAGACGTGCAAAAAGTCAGAACTAAGAGAACTGTTACCCTATTTGGGTCCGGAATGCGTACCATTTCAGGCCGTCAACTATTATTTGACTGATATTGACCTGAAAATGGGTGTCAAACAAAATCAAGTCATGAAAGAAATTGAAAGCCAATTTGAATCTCAACAATGTTTGGTTACGGCAACCGTTGAATATAAAGACAGAACCGGTAGTTATGGTAGTCTAGCTGTCGGTGACAACTGTGACTTAGCGGCCATTCTCATAGCTAAACAATTGGTAACCGATGTCCACTCGTGTCGTCATAATAGTTACAAATTTAATAGAGTGGCTAATATTAGCAAAGTCAATAAAAATGTGACTGTCTATCCCAAACAGTTACCTTTTCATGGACAGGTAGATAAGCGACAGATGCCATGCAAATGTTATCAAATTATTGCTTATAAAAGACTAGAAATTGAACGACAATTCCAGTCAATTGAAGCAAAACAAGAGACAACTCCTAGATATCAGGAAAGTCCGCCCGAAAAGTTCACTCAAAGCATATAAGTATAATATCTATAACAAAGTTAATAATAATAAATAATAATAATAATTTAACTTATTTTTATAATAAATATTATTATTATATTTATTAATAATAATTTCTAAAATCCATTCTATGTAATGTTTATATAATATAATAATTTTAAATAATGCAATTTATTTATTAAAAAATAAAAATAAAAATTTAATTAGCTAAACAAATCATCAAAGTTGGTATCAAAAATATTTTTGTTTTTTGTTTTTCTAATTACTGTGAAAAAAGCAATAATTGTATTGTCATTCAGTATATGGTTTGAGCTGAAGATCTGGTGGACCGCAATCAAGGACTCCGTTATCTTTGAATGACTTAAGAAATTGGATGTAATCTGTCGGCAGATTTTGTTCATAAGCGCCGTTTAATATGACAGTCTTGTAGGACAGACTAGGCGTTTTGAGTCCCGTTCCCGATACAAAGTCATTACTGGAAATGCCTTTCTGTATATAAGTATAACAATTGATGGTCTTGTCGTTGTTGACCAGCACTGGTATCTCAATTCTACGGTAACCGACTTCTTGTTTATCTAAATCGTTTAATTCAGTTTCACTGATCGTCCAAACAGTTCCCCAAACATTTTGCTTTGAAAATAATAATTCAAAAATTAATAATAGTTTTAAATACAACTATTGGGTGATATGTACTTATTTGAAGTTTTTTTTAATTAAATAAATAAATTGTAATCTACTGATACTAATATCTACTAATATACTGTATTAGAAAAACCTTGGATAAAAAAACTAATGACATAGTTTTCAAATATAAATGAAATTTTATAATAAAAATTATTAATAGTCATTATTAAACTTTAATGATAATAATTAATTAATTCAATACATCTTTTTGTGGTACGATATTAGCTGTCGATCCTTTCCATAGTTTGGACGATCCATCAAACGTGAACTCCCAGTCTTTTAGCAAACCGTTACCATATTTGACGGCACTCTTCACATTGATATGCATACGCTTTGACCAGAGATTAGAGCCGAAACAAAAATAAAATAGTTGGCCACTACTGGTCGCCATTACGGCTGTCGTACAAAATCCGCTATTATTTTGCAAATCCAAAATTAGCTGTCAGTTGGCGTTCAGAATATTCTCTATACAATAATTACAGTACAATTTGATTCAAACATTTGTGATATACAGTGTGTGTCATACTTATGATGACATCATTTACAATACAATAATATTTATTTTTAAATATCATACCATTAATGGTCACTATAAACGATAGTTACGCTCAAAATGTTATATTATTAATATTAAAATTTATTGAATAAATAAATATTTATATATTATACAATAATTATATTATGATAAAAATACAATATTTATTATTATTAAATATATTACTGTAATAGCACTAAATTAATTTGTTTTATTATAGAGTACTGTATTAATAGGCAATCAATGTATTATAAACCAAAAGATGTCATTAGCACTGTTTGTATGTACAGTATGTCGGTGTTTGTCAAATCATTTACATTAACCGATAAACTTATTTAATAGTTTTGTATCAAATTATTAATCAATTATATAGATTAAAAAAAATATTATAAATACTTTGTAGTGATTTTTACAACAAATTAAAAATATATTCAGCATTTGTTTATTAATATGTAATATATTTTTGTGACAATTGGTGACAAACCTTAAGGCAATATAACAATTAGATGATCACTTTGGGTTAAAGTTTTGAATTTTGATTTTAAAATTAATTAATTTTATTATGGTTTATATACAATCATACAAATGTTTAATTGGTAAAAATTTTAATTACTTTTTTGATATAAAAGTGACAGTACAATATTGATATTTTTCGAGCACATTAGTTTCAAATGTTTGTTAAATATAAAACTTTTTATACAAATATTGCTTAATTTTAACTTAATTACTAAAACTTAATTTTAGTTTTTGGATTGATTATTAGTAAACTTGTTTACTATTAGATTAGAAACTTTAAATGAAAAAATAACATATTTAGTGATATATTGTGCAATCATGAAATAATATTAGTATATTTCATGATTGTATAATATTAATAAGCTATTTTCCATGTAAATTCTGTAATCTAATTATTATTGATTATTTACCTTAATATGTAATTGTGCGCTAATTAATGTTAATTATCATATAAATATGTACTCCAAATGTTATATCATATAATAGTAACTTAAGATAACGCATATTCTTAACATTAAACACATACATACATACATACATACATACATACATACATACATACATACATACATACATACATACATACATACATACATACATACATACATACATACATACATACATACATACATACATACATACATACATACATACATACATGCATACATACATACATACATGCATACATACATACATACATACATACATACATACATACATACATACATACATACATACATACATACATACATACATACATACATACATACACACACACACACACACACACACACACACATATATATATATATATATATATGTATACATGTACATGCATACATACATACAATAACACACAGTACATGCATATATACAGTATACACACACATACTGTATATAAAATTGTAAAAATAAATACATAAAATATTCGTATATGAATTATAATAAAATCAATAAATTGTCAAATTGTAAACCAAAAAAAAAGGTTTGTTATACACTCAAGTACTTCTCTATTATAATCTCGTCATTTGATGTCCAAAAAGGTTTTACTGAAACCAACACAACAATACCGGAGCCGATGATCATTGAATTTATTGTTATTTGCTAACACAATGCCCAATAGTGTAGTGAATATCCGATTGGCAGCCAAATGTAAAAGTGATGGTATTTTTCTTAGAAAAACTTGTATTACAATCGCTTATTGGTATTCAGTATATGATATCAAATTTAATCCAAAATCCAAACAAATTTATGGACTCAATGTTTGCTGAGAATTTGATTTCCTAATAGAAAACATGTGCACTATTTCTACATCTATTAAACTTATATTGTATTTACAATTTTATTATCAAATACTATACTATAGTTATCATTATAAAGTTTTTTTTAACCATTTATCATAAATGACTTTACAATAAATTAAACTAAAAAAAATAAAATCACAATAAATGTTTCTTATCTATAAAAAAACTATTTATTTATTTGATATAATGATAAGATGTCAAATATTCAATAATTTTATTAATCAAATAATTTTGGATAAAATATATTAGAATTTAAAATTCCTTAAAAACTATTGTTTTAGTTATTACTTTAAAAATATTTATTTAAATAATTTATATTTTTTAAGCACTAACACTTTTTTATTTGCATAGTCTAAAAGTAAAAACTATCTTTAGTTTTAAAACTAGAATAAAACCAGTTAAGAATGCTAGAAAGCATTTTCAGAAAAAAAACTTGAATAGAAGTGAAAACCATTAGTTTGTATATTTATAGCGTCTATATAGTAACATATAAAAATTTAAAAACTGGTCAAATATACATAATATAAATATTGTCATGTATGGTATCAAATGATTCAGTATGACAAAATAAACTTAACTTTAGTCATGTAGGGTATCAAATGACTCGGTTTGACAAAATAACTACTCATTTGTGGTATCAAATGATTTAGTATAACAAAATAATCATAAAAATAATTATACTTTTGCCGCTTATACTTTTCTTTTTGCTCCCGTAGATATCAAAATTTTAATGCATATTTTTATCCTTGTTTTTGATGCTTTATTCAAATCTATACTTAAAAAAAATTCTTAAAATTTTTTATATTTTTGCCGCCATTTTAAAAAAATTATACTGATATATAAGGCTCGTATAGATTTCAGAAAACAAAACAAAACATTTCAAGTTTTTTTTGAAAATAAAATTAGAGAATTTGTGTGTGTTTTATGACACCTAAATATTCAAATATATTTAGCAACTAATGTAAAAATCATTTATCGTTTACTTTAACTTTTAAATCTATAAAAGTATAGCAATTTTTAAGTAGATTTTTATTTTTAACTTTATATTCATTTGCTTTATTTTAATATTAAAGTATATTTACTGTTAATACAATGCATAGTCAACTTTATTATTATTTTTTTAAAAGTCAAACAAATTGATAGAAAATCTTTTAATATTAAAGTTTTTTTTCAACTCATTTTAATAACATATTTTTAGATACAATAATGTATTTGCATTTTTTAGAATAAAAATCCATTTTATTCATTATTATAGTTTTTTAAAAACATATTTCGATTTATTATTTTATATAAAATTTATTATTTTTTAAAGATAACTAACATTGATAATGTGATTTATAATCTCAAACATAGTTAATTTACATAATAAATACATATACACAGTACAGTACTATATAAAAACATATAAAAACATTAATTTTTAATAACAAATTATTTTTAAAAATGTTTGTTAATTTTTTTTTGAACAATACTATAATGTTGTTAATATTGTTGTGTATTAGACAATATAATTACATAGATGACAATAATAATAATAATAATAATAATAATAATAAATAAATAAATTATTAATAAAGCCAAATAAATAGACAAATGATTTATGATTTATAATAAAAATAATGATAAAATAAAATACATTTATTTTTCATTTATTCATAAAAGCCTTTTTGCTCTGATCTTACTTTTTCGGTGAAAATATATTACTCAAGACATGACTAATGCTTCTCTGATTATTTTTTTTCGCTCAATCAGTCTTTCTATACAAGAGATAACTTTTTTAAAAAATAAAAATATTATGTAAAATACACTTTATATTGTATATGAATAACAGAAAAAGTGTATTGAATTTATTGAAATCGTTTTTGTTATCGTAAAACATAATCATAGAGTTAGCATAACATATGAACAGAAATTTTTTCTCCATATTTTTGTAACTTTCTATTGATATTAAATGTTAAATTTATATACAATACTAACAAAAAAGATTTTAATATTTTCTGAAAAAAGTTGAATAAATATTAGATATAAGTAGCTATACTGTATATATATATATTGTACAGTATAATGTTGCCAAATATACACACAATTTTTTAATCTTGAACTGTTTGTATGGTATCATTTTACGTAAGAATAATAATGTAAAAAAACTAAATATAGAATTACTGTATATTTAATGAGAATTCAGAATCTACTGTATATACAGAATATTATTAATTAATTTATAATATGATAATTAAAATATTTAAATTTAATTAAAAAAAAGTTTCATTTTTCAATATTAAGTTAAAAATCTCATAATAAGTAAATAACACATTTTAAATATTTATTTAAATAATTTTGAGGTTCTGATTTATAATTTATTAGTCTATAAATTTCTGAATTTTATTATTAAATAAATAAATATTTAGTTTTGAATTTATATTTATATATTTAAAATATCAGTATTTTTTTATTAAAAGTTTGTGTTGTCGTCAATATTAAAGACTTTAAACTGTAATACTTTTGAGCAAAACAAGTCATGCATTTTTTATTTTATGTAATTTAACTTTGCTTTTAAAATCATACAAATCGTCTCAAATTTATATTTATAAAAAAAGCGTTTTATATTTCACCAAAGTTTTAAAATTAGCTATATTTAAAATATCAAATTTTTATGCTTAAAAAATTATTAAATAAATTTAAGAATATCAAGTTATTAAAGTTTTATTTTTAATATTTATTAAATCACTAATATTTTATTAAATTTATTATTTAAAATGATAATATATGTTATACACTATGTTTATACAATAATTTGTTAAATATAAAGATTATTGAAGCATTTTTATAATGTGTTTGTATCCTATTGTATCTTATATATAGTATAGTATTGGTGTAAAAATCTGAATTTAATGTAAATAAATGTTATTAAAAATATCTCACGAGAATTGCCATCAATTCAAGAGTCAACTATATAGTGGCACTTGTAGTCTGACTGCCGATGCGGTGTCGACCCATATCTGATAACTTTAGCGTAAATAAAAACCTGAAAAAACATCGACAAACATACAAGAGCTTACATAGAAAAAAATGATTGATTAAAAATCAATTACCATTACATTTATTTTGGATTATAATAATAGTAAATGAAAATATATTTATATATCGTGCCTAACATGAGAGTTGGCAAAAAAGAGAAATTTGTAAAATAATAAAAAAAAATTCTGGAAAATTTCTAAAATAAATTTCTGTTTATGGAATCCCCATTTTATTAATTTTGTTTTCTCGATATTTGTA